GTTTGCCATCTCTGTTCAGCTGGCTAACAGCTATATGTTTTAACCTATATTTTACCATTTCAGGGTATTTGAAATAAAATTAGCAGTCCTGAAAATCAAGGTGATTTTATTTACTCCTGGCTTTCCAAAGGTTATGTTCTTCCTTTCAAATTATTTTACTTTCTCTGTTTTACATATAAATTATAATAAAGATAACGAAAGACATCATATGATATGTTGACTTTAAAAATGACAGTATCCATCATGTCATCTTAAGTCTGCTGGTCCAAAGGTATTTATATTTTGTGTAACTTTGTTCTTCTGATAGCCATCAATGGAAATCACATGTCCATTAGTATGAAAAAAAAAAAACCCTTTGGAAACATCTTTGCAAAACACTTGTGGCTCAGATGGGAAAGAATCTGCCTGCAATGCAGGAGACCCAGGTTCGATCCCTCGGTTGGGAAGACAGCTTGGAGAATTCCATGGACAGAGGAGCCTGGTGTGTTACAGTCTATGGGGGTTGCAAAGAGTCAGACATGACTGAGCAATTAATTTTTTTTCCCATGTACACACTGTGATCATTAGATCCTATTTAAGAAAGATTAAATTGTGTTTTATTTCATATTTAGGAAAGGTTTGACTTTTGTTTTATTGCATCAATTGAAACACAGAGGTTTGTTTGGGATTCTTTTTTGGATCCTTATCTCTTTATAGAGAGATTCAGAGATAGAAGATGAAGAGATGAACCAGGACAGGTAATAGAGCAAGTCTCTTTTTGATTAAACCATTAAATATCTAAACATCTGCATTTTTCTTCCCTGTCCTACCTACCAACTTTTCATGATCAGAAGCTGGCATGACACACTGCCTTAATTTGTATCTAGCTGTTGCTAAGCTATCACTATGGTACCAATGCACTCAGGCAGATATAATCGCTAAAAACAAATATGTAGGAAGAAAATTTTGTCCCTAGCCCCCTCACCTCTCCTGTCATCTGGATGAGTAGTTCAACATTGAATTTCTGTGTCATAATTGCTTTACACCTGTAACAAAACAAAACAAATTAACCTGAAACTTTTGAAAACCAAATTATTACAGCCCATAAAAATATAACGATGTCTGCAAATGTCATTTACAAAAGTCATCACTAGTCTTTGTACCTATACCTTGTAATGATCGAAACAGCCTGCATGGTAACAGTGATTGATTTTTTTGCCCTCAAGCAATGTAAAACACCAGCAAAAATACTGTCCTATTAATTATAATTTTTATGGTCATGCAATCACACTGAATGGCATCTTTTTGTTCTTTCTCAATGGTTAAAGTTTTTCAGATAGTTTTAAAGTTTTCAAATTCTAGTAGATAATTTCAGCAAAATGACCTCATGTAAGCTTTATCTTCAAGAGTGGTATAAATATAAACTGTACTCTCCAGTGTTATATCTCAGTCCTCTTACTTCCTTTGCCTCACTGCATATACACAGCAAGCGATTAATCCAAAAGGAAAAGCTCAGTTTTCTTGAAAGTGCCCATTAACACTATTCAACTATGTTTATAGATTGGATATATTACTTGTTTACCTAAATAGTGGCATAAATATCTGTTTTTAGAAAGCTTTACCATAGTTTTTCTATATGATTGGCTTCTTAAGCAAGTCTATGATTAGTTAATAAACCACTTTCCTTCTTGACTAGTTCTAATGAAAGCTTACCAACTTTAACATCGTGTGCTGACACTTCTTCCATTCTTAGCAGTCTTCCGTTTTTGCCTATCAACAAGGACTTTCTGTTTGCAGCGTTAGCTGTACTGTTTGTAATAGAGTTAATGCCAACTAGAGGCAGTAAAAGGTGTCTGTTTCATATGCAAATTCCCAGCAGTAATTTCTACAATTACATATAGTTGCTTACTCTATTGTGTTCAACATCAGTATTATAAAACAGTCCAGGAAGGAGAAAATAGTACTGATATTACTTTTTTGTATCTCTTAAAGACTTTTTTTGGAGTTCAAAATAAAATAGCCTTAGCTTATTATAATGGATATTTTCACATAATGGGACTTTGATGACCTATTATAGTAGCTGTTCAGAGGAAGAAAGTCTATGTATGACACAGACTGTTCTTTCTGTTTTGTCTCTGAGTTTGTGTTTTTCCAAACAGTTCTCTCTCTCTCTCTCTCTTTTTTTTTTTTTGACTGTCCCATGTAGCATGTGGGATCTTAGTTTTCCAGCCAGGGATTGAACCAGTCCCACTTGTATTGAAAGTGCTGGAGTCTTAACCACTGAACCATCAAGGAAGTCCCAGATAGTCCTCTTTATTTCTTGTTTTACCAGATTGTGATTGCCCTGACCATAAGTAGAAGGAAAAAAAAAAAAGAAAGCAAGGATAAATTCATGTTTTCTTTTCACTGATGTATATTAAGTGTTATTATGTGCAAAGCACTATCGTGGATACAAGCAAGACCCGAAAGGGAGATTATTTGTGTCTTTACCCACTGTACTGTGGGCTTCTGTGAACCAGTCTCTTTGAAGGCAAGTGGGCTATGACAAATAAAATAGACAGATCTGGGTTCAAATACTAGCTTTTCCATTGAATGTGATATTAGGCAAATTCTCTAAGCTTTATCTTGCTTTCTGGTAGAAATGGAGATAGTCATGCTCGCTAGTAAAGTGGCTGCTGAGTGCCTGAAAGTGTCTCTGCACCTATTACAGAGGTTGATAGTTGGTAAATGCTGTTAAAGGAAATACTGTTTTTTAAATTATTTTATTTTATTGGCCATGCCACGCAGCTTGCAGGATCTTAGTTCCCTGACCAGGGATGGAACCTGGGCCCATGGCAGTGAAAGTGCCAAGTCTTAACCACTGGGCTGCCAGGGCACTCCCAAAAAATGTTGAATATGTTTTTATAATGATGGAACAAGCAAGTAAAATGGAGTAATAGTAAAGGAGCAATGGATTGTAAACTCTAATTAGAACACCTGAAGTAGGTCTAGAGAATTCTTCTAACATATAGGACAATATAAGGGAAGAAAACATCTAGAAGGGAGGGGCTAGAGCCCACCCAAGGGTGTATCTTTAAAAAGCAATATTTAAAGGGTCAAGACAGGTGTAAAGCTTACAGTCTGGAAAGCTGTGGGGTTGGATGGGAACAGTTTTCCTACGTTATGGTCTGTGAACCTGCATCAAAATCTGGGACTTGCTGTAGAATCAGGACTTTACCCAGACCTACTGAGCGAATCTAAAGAGGAGGTCCAGGATCAGTGTTTCTCATAAATTGCCAAGTAATTTTCACACACACACCAGTTTTAGATCCAGTGAGTAGATAACAAATTTCTAAGGTTCCATTGACATCTAATTCTTGGTGTGGTACAAAAGACAAAATATGAACTTTGAAGTAAGACAGATTCCAGCCAAACTGGAATGCTCAACATTTAAGCCAAACAAACAAAAAGAGCCATACCCAATAGACGAGGGGGCTTACCAGGTGGTTCTAGGGGTAAAGAACCTACCTGCTAATGCAGGAGACCTAAGAGATTCGGGTTTGATCCCTGGGTCAGGAAGATCCCCTGAAGGAAATGGCAGCCCACTCCAGTATGCTTGCCTGGAGAATTCGATGGACAGACTGAAGCCTAGTGGGCTACAGTCCATGGGGTCTCAAAGAGTCAGACACAACTGAAGAACTTAGCACACACATACCCAGTAGAAAGCAGGAGAGAAAAATAAATACTGTATGAACCCACTTAATATATGTAATCTGAAAAAACTGAACTCAGATTCACAGAACAGATTGGTGGTTGCCAACAGCAGGATTTGGGATAGAGGGAAGAGGGGCATGAATGAAGGCGGTCAAAAGACACAAACTTACAGTTATAAAGTAAGTCATGGGAAGGTATTGGATAGCATGGTGACCTATAGTTAATAATACTGTGTTGCATGTTTGAAAGTTGCCAAGAGAGTAAATTCTAAAAAAAATTTGTAACTATATGTGCTATGGATGTTAACTAGATTTATTGTGGTAATCATCCCTCAGTATATACAAATATCTAATCATCATGTTGTACCTGAAACTAATCTTATACGTATTTGCACCTCAATTATTAAAAAAGAAAGCAAAAAGGGAAAATAAGTATAAAATGTGTAAAAAGTGAAAAATATAGAATGGAAGACATTAGTACTTATCTTAGAATGAATCACAGTAAATTAATTAAATTCACCAACTAAAAAAATAGAATCTCAGATTCAGTTAAAAAGCACTATCCAATAAGCTGTCTAAAAGAGAAACTTAAAAAACACAGAAAGATTGAAAATAAAAGATGGGAAAAATATGAACCAAGAGGAAAAAAAAGAGAATATTAGTATCTGACAATATAGGATATAAGGCAAAAAATACATAGTGGACAAAGAAGGTCATTATATGCTGCTAAAAGGAACTATAGAACAAGAAGATACAACCATCAAAAACATGTATGCACCTAACAATACAGCCTCAAAATATACAAAGGAACAACTGAAAATAAGTAGCAGGGAGCAATGAATACATAAAATTATAGTTAAAAAGATTTTAGCCACATCTTTCAGAAATTGATATATCAAGCAGACATAAAATATACATAATGAAATTTTGAATCATACAATTAATAAGCTCAAGCTATGAAGTATACATAGAGCTCAGCACCAAAGGAATAGTTAGTAAATATTAGATTCAACTAAGTGAAAATGTAAATAGTTGAGAATTTTTTGCCTCTGAAAACAGTTTCATATCATTCCTTATAGTTTGTTGAAGGAATTAAACTAGCTAATGTCTATAAAGCAATTAGCACAATGTCTAATTTATTCTCCTTTGGTATTTAGTTTACAAAGAGAATACTTTCCTCAATTATTAGCAATTGGATAAGTGAGATCCAAAAAATTCAGTCATGTGAAATGTGAGGTCACAATTTGTTTTTTAAGATTAACGAACAAATGACTCGTATAGACCGAGCTGGTGAGGAATTTGGGGAGCCTAGCTGCCCTCCCTAAATTCATGCCCAACTCAGCTGTGATTTGGTGCCACCTGCTGGTGGTCGGCTCCAGTTTAAATATTGGTAGGGATAATTCTTGGGTCCAGAGGCAGCAGGACAAGATCAGTGATCCCAGAGGTGTACCAGTTCGTTGTCCAGATTCAGAAATTCAGCTAGGAGAATACTGCCAACTAGAGACTCACTCTTCACCCTTCTCTCTGCAACAACAGCCCGTGACTTTCCTTCACCTTCATGACCTTGACCTCCATCCCCAGGCCCCCTCCCCACCACAGCATCGGGCTTTAACCCCCAGCGCTGGCCCTCGGGGCTCCCGTGGTGGCTCAGGCTGTAAAGAACCCACCTGCAGTGCAGGAGACCCAGGTTTGACCCTGGCTCAGGAAAATCCCCTGGAGAGGGGAATGGCTAGCCACTCCAGTATTCTTGCCTGGAGAACTCTGTGGACAGAGGAGCCTGGTAGACGATAGTCATGGAGTCGCAGAGAGTCAGACATGACTGAGTGACTTTCACTTTCATGACCCTTATTCCTGCCTTGTTCTCAAGTAGGGGCTAGACAGGAAATGGGAGCCAGTTGCCAATTCTGCAGAATATCTAAAATTATATTTTAATATAATGGGGACTTTATATTTTTTAAAAATGGGTTTTTACTGTGTTTTATCCAGGATCCCCTGAATGCTTACAACATAGCAGCACTATATTTTTTATTTTAGAGTCTTTGATTACTACAAGTGTTTCTGGTTGGTTATAAAAAGCTTTTACTAGATAGAAACCAACTGAAATTCAAGGGAATTCCCTGGTTGTCCAGTGGTTAGAACTCAGTGCTTTCACTGCAAGGACCCAGATTCAGTCGCTAGTCTGGGAGCTAAGATACCACAGGCCACATGGTGTGGCCAAAAAAACCCAAAAAAACCCATTTCAAGCAGCAAAAATAAAGGAAGACAGGAAAAAGTGGGAAAGTTCATCCAGAGACTATTAACCCTATTACATGAATGCCGTGAAATTTTAAATATATAACTGCATTTGAGGATGATCTCTTATTGCCCAGCAGGATCAGAAATTCTTCGTTTGGTTATTTATTTGTTCAACTTCTTGATGTGGAGGAGCAGCTTTCCCTTCCTTGTATAAACATGCCGCCCTGCTCCATTTTTTTCAGGTGCACCCCCTGAACACACCTCCTGGGCTTCTTGGAAGCGGCATGGAGGGGCACGATGACAGAGGGGGTAGTGATTAGTTATCATTTACTGTTTCTGTCCCCATCACCCTTCCTGCCATCCTCCCGCTTCTGAGTTACCTGGGTCACTACCACCAGAGTCGGGGCACAGCAGTCTGGCAGAACCAGCATTTTGGGATCAGAGTCTCCCTGCCTTGTGGCTTCCAGAGGTCACAGGTTTCTTCAGCGGCACTGTCACACACCAAGCTGAGTGTCAAATCTTGGGAGACTCGTGGCACAGACTAGCAAAGGCCTTAACCTGTCCAGGGCCTGTCGCTCTGATCTTAACCTGTTACTTCTGCCCACCCTCTAGTATCAAGGCTCTCTGTTTTACTCAAAATCTGCTGTTAAAAAGTTTTCCAGATAGGATCTGCTGTTTAAAAGTTTTCCAGATAGGATCTGCCGTTTCCTACTGCAGCTACTGCCTGAAGTTTTCCCCACTCAGAATGCCCTTCACCTGCCCTTTGTGGGTCAGAATCCATCAGCCTTCCTGCGGGCTCCCAGGACAGCCCCTTCTCTCCAGAAGCTTCTTGATTTATTCTGACTCCTCAGTCGTCCCCGATCTGGGGCTCTCCTGCGGTGCTGCCTTCTGCTTTATGTCAGTTTTCAGGGTTCATGATTGATCCCTGGGATAGAATGACACCTCTTTGAGGACGGGGGCCTTGTTTATCTGTTTCTTAATTCCCCAAAGAACTCAGAGCTTTGCAGTCATAGGTGTTCAATAAATATTTGTTTAACTTTGAAAGCCTTTGTCACATTAAAGCCGGCCAGGCCATCTTCCAAAGAAGTCTCACCTCCTCCTGCCAACTGCATGGGTGCTCAGCCCTATATTTAGGTACGGAATGGTCTCCCCCACCTTTCTCTACAGTTGGCATGAGCCAAATTCTGTCACTGCAAAAATTCTCCAGGAATATAGGCATTGGGAAAGCACATTCACTCACTCCAGCCTAGATTAGCCATCTCTTTGGCACTGAAATAATTTGCTTACTTTCCTAATGTCAAGGCTGAATAAATGCAGTTTCCACAAGTACAAAGTTTACTTACTGAAAACCAGGATTGCATCAAGCATCTCATGAAGAATTTGCATGGTTACAGAAGCTGTACCTTTTATGTGTCTTAGTTTTTTAATATTTAAATATTATTAAATCATTAGATATCAACTTGGGTGTAATATATTTTACTATAGACACCATTTGAAAACTTCAGTATCTCTAGAAAAATTCAGGAAATACCAAATGTTTGAGTCTTAGGGAATCATAACATAAGTACCATATTTGTCCTCAAACATGAGTTTCTCCCTGCCACCATAGATATACCATTTAATTCTGCTGTTCCTAACACTTACCTTTTAAAAAATGTTTGTAACCTTACTGGAGGCAAGTAACCCGGAACTTCTCTAATTTCTAGTGTAAAACATTCAAGGGGAAGAAGCAAATAATATGGATTATTGGATTCCTCTGGTAGCTTTCCTCAGATTCACACACTTGAGTTCCAAAGCACAATCATTTCTCTTTGCTCCATGCTGATTATATAGGTCAGGAGGGTAATAAGGTCATTTATTTGGAGGATTTTCATCTGGTATATTTCTAATATTCTTGCCCCATTCCTGACCACTCAGATCAGCATTACAGGGAGTCCCACATCTCTCTCGCTCCACCCAAGAAAATGATGACACAAAGGTAATTTGAGTCTGAACTTTCTGCTCCCAAATTTGTCATTTTCCCAGAGCACAAGGGTTATATTGCTTTAGTCCTTCACACCAGTAATGACTCCTGTAATAACATTAGTCCTTTAAACCAATGATGGCTCAGTAATAAGTAGCACTGTGTTTACTCTTAATATTAACTCAATGCATAAAACCTCAAAGGTATTACATTTTTTTTCAAAAACCTTATTATTGAAATCAGAAATTGCCCATGGCAGAATCAAGAAAACAAGGGACATACAATAATAAAAGTAAATGTTACATCATACTATCAATATATTATTAAGAAGATGCAGTGTTAGATACATCTATTTTACTGTTTAAAAAAAAAAGGAATCTTTGCTTAATTGGCTGAACTGGGATTTCCTTTCTAAAAGATTTTCTTGGTGCTTCTTTCCTAGGAGTCCGCAACATAGAGAAATTCTGAAGCTGTTTTATAGATAGCCTCAGATCAAATATGGTCAGTAAGTGTGTATGCCAAGACTGTATCGTTGAGACACTAATCTATATTTTTATTCTCCTGGCATTTCCTCCTTTCCCTTCCCTGTCTCCAAGCAGATATTCCCATCTGGGTTTATTATCTTAGTGAAGGGACGAGATGTAGCAGAAAGTTGAAATTGCCCTCAAGCTTTTGTTTCTAAAATCTTAAGCCCCAGCAGGAAGATTTGAGCCATAGGCACAATGCGTGGGCAGAGGCAGGAGGACCCTGGACAAGGTGGTGGGGACAGGCAGACTGCTGTGTGGGTGGGCTCTCCACCAGCCTGGCTGGGAGGCAGGCCTGCCCCCAAGAAGCTGTAGCTGTAGCTGGGAGCTGTGACCACAAACTAGAGGCCTGTGCATTACATCTGACTTTGTTTGACCATGTCCATTTCAGTCACTGAGCATTATAAATCAAGGCAATTTTACACAGAAGTCCAGGTTGGAGCTTCGCTTGAATAATTAGCAGATTTGGCCACACTGTGTTCAGTCTCTTACAGCACCAAGGCTGCCTGCATTAGATAAGGAATAAATGCTCTAGTTTGCCAGAATCCCTAGAAGTCATCTCTACGCTGACGCCAGGGGTTAGTTGTCACTCATCGTGGCACTGGCACTGCTCCAGGCAATAGAAGATGGTTCTCTTTACCCCAGATTTTTTCCATAACTGAAGAAACGAAACATAAAGATGGCTCATGAAAGAAACAGAGGAGCTGGTGCACTTCTCCACGGAAGTGAAGATGTTCTTCTGTGTCTGATAGGCAGACTGCACGCTTCACTCGTGAGCTCTCCCAGCCTGCTCCCTGTGGGCATTTGGCTCACGGATTCCCTGTTCTAGGCAGCCTTGCAAAGAGACGACCGCGTCTCTGGTTGGGCATGGCAGAGCCGCTGCCTGCAGGGTACAGCAGGCAGAATGATGGACAGCTCAGCCAGAACCCATGTGGGCAGATGCCTGGAGGCCAGAGGCCCCTGGAAGCTTCTGGTGGGGGTAGGGAGGACTCCAAAAGGGCAGGGCTCAAGACAGAAAGTAAATTAGAAAAATCGTTATTTCACAAACACAAGTGTACGGACTGAGATTTGCATGCAGCACCTTTTCTTTCTGGCTGACTTGGTTACTTAGCTCAGGGGCTCTGATGGCACCAACATGCACTCATGACAGAGGCGACCAGGGCCTGTCCTAGAGAAAGACAGCGGATGCACTGTCTTTTCCTTATGAGAGGGGTAAGGAGAAAGGACATGAGGGTTGGTGGGGCATCACGTGTTTTAGAATTACATGATGCTGTCTTTTTCCCTTCCTGGGTGGAGTTTGAATTTAAAGTGGTGTCTTCCAGACAGCTTTCAGGCCAATCATATGAACCTTTGTGCTTTTGCTGCTAAACTAGAAATGTGTTTTTCAAAACCTTAACTGTTACATGCCCAAGCTAGTTATTTCAACAGTTTGCTCACCCCATTTATAACCAATAAAAATAACTATCCTTTATTGAACTTAGCTTATGCCCACCACTCTGCGGTGCTCCCCATAGCTGCCTGCCTCATTTATGACCATCCTGCAGGGTGCCCCATGCCTTGACAAAGGAAATGGATGCTAAAAGCTTAAGCAGCATCCAAAATCCCACACTTAGTACATGTGGGAGCCTGAATTCAAATCCAGGGGTCTGTTTGACTTCATGAGCCCTGCACTCTGTAGCCAACATCACTTTGATGTCACCATCAAATGTGACAGCATTCATCACCACCTGCTACCTCCAGGGCAGCAGTAGAGCTGGAGGCATGAAAATGTGAATGTAAAGGGCCAAGTCCCCAAGGAGTAACAAAATTAAATCAGGCACATTCTTTAGAAAGAAAAGGGAAAGCATATTCGTGCAGTAACAGAGATGTTAGCAGTGATCCTTGGAGTTGTGGTGCAGCGGAGAAAGCCACCAGGTCAGAAGATATTCACTCTGGGACCCAGTGCTTCTGGGATATTAGGACTAAGTCCAAGTAGGCTTAGTCCTTTTTTCCCCACTGTTATGAGTTGTACTGTGTCCCCAAGACGATGTCGAACTCCTTACCCCCATTGTCTGTGAAACAGGGCCAACTTGGAAGTAGAGTCCTTGCATATACTCAAGTTAAGATGAGGTTATTAGCGGGGGGTCCCTAATCCAGTATGACTTTGTCCTTATAAAAAGGAGAAAGTTAGACAGAGACAGATATGTACTGGAGGAAAGGATGGGAAGACCCCCAGAGAACATCATCTAAGAGCCAAGAAACTTCTGAGGCCCCCAAAAGCAAGGAGAGGGCCCTGGAACAGAGCCTCTGCATAGGCCTCAGACCGAGCCTAGCCAGCCAGCCTCTTGATACGGGACTCCTGTCCTCCAGATAACCACGATGGTGTGATCAGACACCCTGGAATGCAAAGTCAAGTGGGCCTGAGGAAGCATCACTACAAACAAAGCTAGTGGAGGTGATGGAATTCCCGTTGAGCTATTTCAAATCCTAAAAGATGATGCTGTGAAAGTGCTGCACTCAATATGCCAGCAAATCTGGAAAACTCAGCAGTGCCCATAGGACTGGAAAAGGTCAGTTTTCATTCCAATCCCAAAGAATGGCAATACGAAAGAATGTTCAAACTACCACACAATTGCGCTCCTCTCACATGCTAGCAAAGCAATGCTCAAAGTTCTCCAAGCCAGGCTTCAACAGTACATGAACCATGAACTTCCAGACATTCAAGCTGGATTTAGAAAAGGCAGAGGAACCAGAGATCAAATTGCCAACATCCACCGGATCATCGAAAAAGCAAGAGAGTTCCAGAAAAACGTCTATTTCTGCCTTATTGACTATGCCAAAGCCTTTCACTTTGTGGATCACAATAAACTATGGAAAATTCTGAAAGAGATGGGAACACCAGACCACCTGACCTGCCTCTTGAGAAATCTGTAATGCAGGTCAGGAAGCAACAGTTAGAACTGGACATGGAACAACAGACTGGTTCCAAATAGGGAAAGGAGTATGTCAAGGCTGTATATTTTCACCCTGCTTATTTAACTTATATGCAGAGTATATCATGCAAAATGCTGGGCTGGATGAAGCACAAGCTGGGATCAAGGTTGCCAGGAGATATATCAATAACCTCAGATACCCAGATGATACCACCCTTATGGCAGAAAGTGAAGAAGAAGTAAAGAGCCTCTTGATGAAAGTGAAAGAGGAGAGTGAAAAAGTTGGCTTAAAGCTTAACATCCAGAAAACTAAGATCATGGCATCTGGTCCCATCACTTCATGGCAAATAGGTGGGGAAACAGTGGAAACAGTGACAGACATTATTTTGGGGGGCTCCAAAATCACTGCATATGGTGACTGCAGCTGTGAAATTAAAAGACGCTTACTCCTTGGAAGAAAAACTATGACCAACCTAGACGGCATATTAAAAAGCAGAGACATTACTTTACCAGCAAAGGTCTGTCTAGTCAAAGCTATGGCTTTTCCAGTAGTTATGTATGGATGTGAGAGCTGGACTATAAAGAAAACTGAGCACCAAAGAATTGATGCTTTTGAACTGTGGTGTTGGAGAAGACTCTTGAGAGTCCCTTGGACTGCAAGGAGATCCAACCTGTTAATCCTAAAGGAAATCAGTCGTGAATATTCATTGGAAGGACTGACTGATGCTGAAGCTGAAACTCCAATACTTTGGCCACCTGATGTGAAGAGCCGACTCATTGGAAAAGACCCTGATGCTGGGAAAGACTGAAGGCAGGAGGAGAAAGGGATGACAGGGGACAAGATGGTTGGACTGCATCACTGATGCTATGGATATGAGTTTGAGTAGGCTCCAGGAGTTGGTGATGGACAGGGAAGCCTGGCGTGTTGTAGTCCATGGGGTTGCATAAAGCTGGACACAACTGAGTGACTGAACTGAACTGATCCTCCAGAACCACTGAGACAATAAATTTCTGATGATCTAATCCATCCAGTTTGTGGTATTTTATGATGGCAGCCCTAGGAAAGAAAAATATCACCCAACGTGTACACACTTTAAAAAAGCAGATTCTGTTGTGTGGGTTTGTCATTGTCCATTTCAGAGACCTGCTGAGCAGGGCTGGTACCCAGCCACCGGGAAGTCCAGCATCATCCACATGCAGCCTTGAGCGACTACTCACATTTCAAGCCTCAGCCCCTAGTCCAACCAGCTGGAGTGTCCAGTGCATGCATCACAGTCACAGAAGGGAGGAGCCACTTGATATACTGCAGAAGGCAACAGGAGGGATGATGTTGAGGCTCTGTGGAGTCCAGTACAAGAGCATCATGGAACACACGAATAAACAGTATAGTCAAGTAATACCAGTTAGGCTAAAATAGGGGTCGTCTACAGTAGAGGAATAACTAGAACACTGGGAGTACAGGCCTGCATGTGGGAGAGGGATGGTGAAAACCTCACAACAGTGTAGACATTTGGCTGGGCTTCAAAGGATGAATAGGAATTCACAGGGGCAAGAGAGAAGCATCACAAGCAAAGGCAAGAAGACAGAAATGCCCAGCCTAAGCAGGAAGGTGTGCCTAAGGACTCCCTTGTGTCTTAGAGTAGGATGGAATTTTCTGAAAAGAAAAGATTAAATTCTATTCTGGTCAGTACTGCTGATGTTTCAAACAACTAAACTGGGAAATAACCAGACTTAATTGGGAAAGAGTAGAAGAATTAGTACTTAGGATATAGTGTAAGTCATGCCAATTGCCAGTCATGCCTCTAGAATCTGGCACATATTAGCTTGAGATAATTATTTGTTAAATGAAAGAATGAATTACAAGCCATGTCATCTCTCTGGGCTTTATTTTTTCCCCGCTTGTTTAAAAATGAGGTGGGCTGGTATGGGGAGGTAGTATGGCTACTCCAGCTCTCTCAGGTCTGTGATCAAGGGCAAACAGAATGACAAAATGTGAAAACACTATTATTATAGATTAAATGTTTGTGTCCTTCCCAAATTCATATGCTGAAGCCCTAACTGCCAATATAATGGTATTTGGAGATGGGTGTCTAGGAGGTAATTAGGGTTAGATGATGTTATGAGGGTGGGGCCCTCATGATGGGATTAGTGCCCTAATAAGAAGAGCTGCCTGCCAGTGTAGGAGACATAAGAGATGCAGGTTTGATCCCTGGGTCAGGAAGATCCTTTGGAGGAAGGCATGGCAATCCACTCCAGTATTCTCTCCTGGAGAATCCCACAGACACAGGAGCCTGGCCAGCTATAGTCCATAGGGTCACACAGAGTCAAACACAACTGAAGTGACTGAGCATGTATAGCAAGAAGAGATACCAGGGATGGAGCTTGCTCTCTCTCCACCATGTAAGGGCACAGCAAGAAGGTGACTATTTGCAAACTAGGAAGACAGCTCTCACCAGACCCCATCATGCCAGCACCCTGATCTTGGACTTCAGGCCTCCAGAAATGTAAAAAAATAATCTATTTAAGGCACCCAGGGTATGGTATTTTATTATGGCAGCCTGAGGAGACTAAGACAACTATGGGAAGAACTCTACACCTGTGTGATATTACTCCAGAGTTGGTACAGAATGGTGGATGAAGTCCCAGACTGGGAAGTGAGAGGGTTCTGACATGTGGCCCAGATCCTGCCATGACTCAGCCGCCTGTCTTTGGGGTATTCCCATATAACACATAGGTGGTATAGGGGCCATTCCAGGAGGCACCGTTCACATAGACTAGGAGCTGTCCTGCTCCAAGCCTTCAACCATTCGTTTCTTCATCTATAGAAAGGGGAAGAGAAATGGAACACATGATATCTAACAACAATTCACTTATTCTTTCAACAACTATTTGTTAAAAATTGATTATGTCTCAGGCACACAGCCAGGCACTTGGAGATAGTGTAGGATCATGGCCTTGCCCTCCAGAAGTTTACATTCTACTTGAAGAGACAGACAGAAAGGCCATTATAGCTTCATGTGAACAAGGTTTCTGTGCCAGACAGCTCAGGCTGCCATAACAAAATACCATGGACTGAGGGGCTTAGACAACAGAAATGTATTTTCACACCATTCTGGAGACTTGAAGTCTAAGATCAAGCTGCTGGCAGGGCTCTCCTGAGGCTGTCTTCCTGGCCTACAGACAGCCACCTAAATGTCCTGACATGGCCTTTTCTCTGTGTATGCACACCCCTCTTTGTATAAGGACACCAGTCACATGAGATTGAGGCCCACTCATATAGCCTCACTTAACCTTAACCGCCTCTTGCTCTGTATACAAATACAGCCACATTCTGAGCTACACTGGGGGTTAGGACTCCAACCTCTGGGGGGACTAGATATGGGGATGGGAGGGGGCACAATTCAGTCCGTACTAGCCTCTATGACAGGGAGATTCAGAGCAGGGACCTCCACCCCAGGCTGGGACCCACGAGGCCTCTTGAGGAAGAGAGCTAAGCTGCTGGAGTAAGGCTGAGGCTGGAGGTGAGCTACCATGTTCGTGAATACAACCGTGTGAAACACTAACCTTGTATATTTTGCTCTTTGGTGGACCCTGATTTTGAAATCTGTTTGGCCTTTGGTAGGCGTGACATACAAAAAGGAACCCCAAAACACTGTTCCAAAGGCCAGTGTGCCTTGGGCAAGCTACCTTTTCTTTTTGCCTCAGTTTCCTTATTGGTAAAACCAGGCTGTTGGCATCTATTATTTCTCAAGCCTTAATGTGCCATGATTATAGTGAAATCCTTAGACATATTCGGGTACATCTCTAAAATACTGTGCTGACATTTCAGAAGTTTGTGGAAAAGGAGCCGTGGATTCTGTAGCCAAATACTATATTTACTTTTGGAGCATTATTACTGAGATTTCTTCTAACTCACTCTCTCTCTTTTTTTTAAGTCAAAACAATAGATTGATAAAGGGGAGTCAGGTGACAGGTGTCAAGCCAGGCACGCACACCAATGTTGCATGACTTTTTAAAAAAACTATTTATATATATATTTATTTATTTATTTTTGGCCATGCTGGGTCTTCTTTGCTGCACAGGCTTTTCTCTCGTTGGGGCAATTGGGGGGCTGCTCTCTAGTTGTGGTGCACAGGCTTCTCATTACAGTAGCTTCTCTTGTTGCAAAGCATGGGCTGTAGGGTACTAGGCTCAGTAGTTGTGACTCATGGGCTCTGGAGCACAGACTCAGTAGTTGTGGCACACAGGCTTAGTTGTTCTGCAGCATGGGAGAGCTTCCTGAATTAGGGACAGAACCCATCTCTCCTACATTGGCAGGTGGATTCTTTACCACTGAGCCACCACTGAAACCCTGCATGACTTTTAGCTACTCCAGGGTGATTTGTTCCTTAGGCCAAGGTGACAACTCTTTTTTTGGTGTGTGGGAGGGGGAAAGGGTTACAAAAGCAATCGATGCTTATTGTTGGGGGACAACAAGGAAATCAGATATTTCACAAATGTTGAATATGAAAAAGTACTAATAAGTTCCTTCTTTCTACCATCATATACCTCCAGGGTAACCAGTGTTACCCCTGTGCTTTCCAGAGCTTTTCTGTTCACACCCAGATATAGGTACATACATGGTTTTCTTTCTTTCTTTCTTTCTTTTTTTTTTACAAAAGTGGGTTTACACTATACAGAGATCTATAATTTTCTTTCTACTCAATAACGTCATAGATACTTTCTGTACCCTTTATGAAAAAGAGTACCTTCCTCTTTCTAAAGCTGAGATAGTATGCTATAGCATGTGTCATCATTTTGATTATTTTCCAAGTTCTCTCCCAATTTTTATGTTATGAATGATCCTGCAATGAACATCCAACATTTGCTTGCAATGTTGCAATGAACATACATTTGTTTGTAGTTGTAGCCTTGGCTGAGTTAGCATGGATTCCTAAAAGTAGAATCACTGGATCTCAAGTTCATTTCTATGAAGTATTTAATTTTACAGAGGAGATTTCAGGCAGGTCAAATAAGACTTTAAAAATGTATATATATGTATGGAGAGCATTTCATTTAGAGTCTTTTGGCCCAAAGCAAGAAATAATTTCTTAAAAACCAGCCAATTACTAGAGTAGTGTATACCTCCTTTTTTTTTTTTTTCTTTGTTAGTGTACTCTGATTGGCTGGGAAACCAACCTCCCCTTGCTCCCTGCTTCCTGCCTGTCGCTTTGCTGTGTGATCTGCGTGGGGAACTTCTGACTGCAGGCCTTTGGGCACCCCTCTGGGCTTGGGGGCCCTGGTGGCTGCAGTGCCTCTAGCTAGCACTCTGGGTTCAGAATGAGCTATCGTTCAGATTGGCATTTGTTTTCTCAAGGGCTTGAAATTGAGACTGGGATTGCAGCAGTTTTCACTCTCCCTAAGATTTCTTTTTGCAGACTCCCTATTATGCAAGCCAGATATTCTACTAAAATCAGATCCTAATGGTTATGCTGGGTGCTTAAAATCTCAAGGTGCTATAAATTATTCAATAGTTCTACACATAAGGAAAACGGCCCAGCACAAATTCTCTGCAACTTTTCATGCAACACCTTTTTTTTTCTTTCCCACTCTGGATCATGGTGTGTCATTTACCTGCTCCAGATTCTACTAAAGGTGGGGTTGGTTCCCCGCTCACCCCATCCCCAGCACACAAGGGGTTAAACTGAACTCCTTGAGCCCACCTTCCCAAACAAAGTCAGTTTTGCAAGTTACTCAGCTAGATGTCTTTCAGTAGGTTCTATTTAATAAAGTTAATACAAGCTTCTCTGCTCCTCCTCTTTTTCCCTCTTAACTTCAGTTGTGAGTATTCACGGAATCTGGATCTGCCAGCTACTTCTGTTTGAAGTTGAAGGTTTGGCAAAATTATACAACCAGCAGGCAAGAAGTAAAGTGGAAATGTCTACAAGTAACAGTGAAATCTGTTGCATTGCTTTAAGCCTCAACTACTGGGGGATAAAAAGTCCTATAAATACTGTTGAGGCAGCTGTAAGTACATTTTATGATGATCAAAACCTTTAGAACAACAGCTAAAGGATATGTGAAACCTGATGTCTATCTGCCACTCTTAATTATAAACATTGATTGATGTTAAAGATATCCCATTCTTCATTAAATGCTGGATAATTTTGAGTTTTTACATTCAGTGTTTTTTGTGAGTCCTTTGTATGGCCAGTAGCCAATTTACTCCCTGTTGCCTTTTACTCAGGTAAAATTGGAAATGAATTCATTATATCAATTGTAGCAGCTCTAATTTGAAATCTTGAAAAATGCATTTCTAATGAAGAAATTTCAAATCAAGCAGACCTCTAAATCTTAGGTTTTTATTTTTTTCAGGTCTTTATACATATCCTTATGAACCATTAGCAGTCACTCCTGCTGACTTCTTAAGATTACATCAGGTAAGAATTGTGTTTTTTAAAACCTCATTCCTTTCCTCATCTTGTTGTTTAGTCTCCAAGTCACATCTGACTTTTATTTGACTCCATGGACTGTAGCCCACCAGGCTCCTTTGTCCCTGGGATTTCCCAGGCAAGAATACCAGACTGGGTTGCCATTTCCTTCTCCAGGGGATACTCCCTACTTAGGGATCGAACCCGCATTTCCTGTATCTCCTGCAATGGCAGGATTCTTTACTATTGAGCCACCAGGGAAGCCCTTCTCCCCATCTTACTCCATGTTTATTCATATTTTTTCATTAGGCATTACATTTATCCAATAGCAGTTTCAAAAATATTGTTTTTTAAAGACTCCAAAATACAAGAAGACAATTCCAATGCATGTTTTTACCGTTTTTTAAAAAATCTTTTGTCCTGCTCTTTCTCCTTATTAACAAAAAAACCAAATTCATATAAACATACAAAACCATTTGAAGGTAGGTAGTTTCCTTTCCCACATTGCAGTAACTTCCATTTTTGCTGACAACTCATTTGGAATAGCTTACTTTAAGCAGCCATGTTGATCCAGTTATGCAAATTAAGATACATAATTTACAATAATACTCAAGGTCACTTTGTAGTTTCCTGAGAGATTATGTTTTGAAAGTCAGTTTATATCAGTTAAGCACGCTGCTTGCTTTAGATACTATGGAATTATTATTTCACAAAACCTTTGGTTCTGAACAATGTGAACAAGGAAGTGTTCATTTTTAATTATTTTATTTCCACTGATTTATTATTTAATTTCTCCTCCAATACCTGAGTTGTTACTGTTAATGACTGGCTATAGATATATCCTATAACACATTTCATCTTTTTAAAAATGTAACAAGGTCATTTTACATTTTTAAAGCACTAAGTAAAGTGGTTTAAAAATGCAAAGTGAGCTTAAATGCTACTCTTAATTTTTCCTAACTCTTCCACTGGGAAACCCTAGAAAACTGAATTAATGAAATGCAACTTATACTTTTTAAATTCTAATTATAACTGTCACATTAAATTGAAGGTGAGACTAAAACTGCTATATGTTAACTAAGTCAAGAGATGTACTATATCATACATGTTATTTAATGTGCGAATGTTAAAAGTCAAGTTCCCGGCAGAAATAGAAGTGCCTCCATTCCGTCTTCAGGGAATGTATAAATTAACCATTCTGCCCCAAGCGGTCCTCCTCCCTTTCTCCCTCCGCCCTATTTTAAATGTAGATAGGGCGACTCAAGTCTTTTGAATTTGAAGGGCTGCTATCTTGGCCCCATTCTTTTCATCGTCCTCTTTTGAATGACACTGAGCACGTATGGATTCTTTTATAAAACACCCCTTGGACTCAGGGCTAGGTTCTCCCTGCTGCTTGCTAATTTTGCATAGCAATTAGTAATGACTTTTCAAAATCAGTTCGAGAATGTTCCACGTAGACCCTCAAAGGTCTTAGGATAACCTCTTGCCTACAGATTTCAAACCCAAAGGGGAAGAACTTGCATAATTGCTAAATTACCAGTTGGAGCGGTCTGGAAGAGGATACGTAATACAAAACTATACGATACGTTAATTCAAACCCTCCCCGCGCCCGGGCAGCAAGGAGCCAGCATATGCCTTCTTTTAAAAATCTATTCTACCAATTCACTGACCGCGCAGGGCCGGGCCACATGGTCCTTCCTTGCAGCCAGTCAGCTGTGAGCAGCAGATGGGATCATTTGCATTTTTCTTTTTATACTTTCTTCGACCCGCAAATTAAAAGGATTTTTTAAAATTTACATTCTCATTGTTTGGCTTAAATATAAACGTGGCTTAACTGTTGGGTTGGGCTTCCCTGACCCTCACACACCACACCCCTTGAAGTCACTGAGATTTGAGAAAATACCCGAGGGGTAGGTTTCGTTATTTATCAACTTGGAATCTCCAGCCCGGGAGTCAGCAGTAGAAAGAATGAGCCTTTATTGAGTTGGTGACTTGTGTTTTTCTATTTTAAGCGCTCGGCGCAGCTATCGCCGTGGGTTCGTGGCATGTGGGTCTGTGAGCCCGCGCACTTATGAATCTCAGGCTCCGCTGCCTCAAACCTCAAAACTTCGGGTTACAAGTAGAAGGCAGATTTTAGCTCTTAGGCTTACAAGAGAGGGCGGCCACCCTACTGGGGGAGTGGCCAGAACCAGTGTTTCCCAGCGCCGGGGTTAGTCCCCCGCGGCCCGCCAGACTCCATGCAGGCTCCGCGGGGGCCACACGGGTCCCCGCGCCCCGAACTCTTTGTGCCGATCAAGGGACACGAGGGAACACTCGCCCGAGGGGGACAGGGCCACGGCCGAGATCCCAAAAAATGCGGGAGAGGCGCGGGCGTGGAGGGAGGCGCCCCGCACAGTCGCCGATCCGCGGAGGGGAAAAAAAAAAAAAGTAGAAAAAGAGGCTTTTCAGGTCAAACTCCTCGGGTCTGAGTAACCACGTTTTAGAGAAATGAGTCGCGGGGGGCAGAACACACGATGTGCAGGGTACATTGTTAGCCAACGCTGGCCCGGCGCACCGTGGGTGCGCGGCCGCCGCCCCCCGCCCCGGGCAGCGGGCGCGGGCCCACGTGGAGCGGCGCGGCACCGGATGAGCGCGCTGGGCCGCCCGGGTCCCCGGAGTGCGCGCCCCAGCTCCCTGCCGCGGCCGTTCACGCCCGAGCGCCGCCGCCGGTCCCGCGTGTGCCCCGCTGAGGGGGAGGGGCGGGCTGGGGGTGGGGGCGGAGGGGTTGTGGTTCCACTGCAGCGGGGGCTCCTGTGTCCTTGTGCGGAAATGACACACGGAGTCCCGTCACGTCACGCGAGAGCGCAGCGCACGGACACACACAAAGAGAGGGGAAAATACACGGCGCCCGCCCGCTGCCCCCAGCAACTCCCCGGGCCGCCCCGGCCTGGCCCTCCGCGCGCGGCCCCCACTCCCCAGCCCCGCGCCCCCCCTACCCCCCACGTGGCGCCCCAACTCGGCGCGGGCCCGCTCTGCAAAGTACAGAACTCGTGTCCCAGGTAAGTGCGGGGCGGTTCAAGCCGGCCGCGCGGTGGCGGCGGCTCCGGAGCAGACGGACGGGCGAGTGGCTGCAACATCCATGCCGGGGTGGGGGGCGGGAGCAGGGGAGGGGACGCGTAGGGGGGCTGCCCGGAGAGCGCTCGCCGAGAGGGGCGCCCACCCCCGCGCAGGGCCGAGTCGCCGGAGCCGGCGCCGGGCGCCCACGGGCTCGCCGCGCCCATTGTGCCGCGCGCCCCTTTGTGCCCGCTCGGAACGCGGCGGCTCCATGGCGTTCCGGGGAGCACGAGCGCCGCGCGGGGGCGGGGGGGAACGCGCAGTGGAACAGTCCGCGCCGCCACCGCCCCACTCGCGCCGTGCGCTGGCCCCGCACCCCCGCCGGGCGCCACGATGGAGCGGCCGGGGCTGCCGGAAGGCTCTGCGAAGCCAGCGGCGGACTCGGCGTCCGCGCTCCGCCGGGCTGCGGCTGGGAACGGGCTCGGCGTGCAGAAGGGGGGTGTCAGAGCAGGAGTAGGGGGCGGGGACTGGAGGAAGATACTGAGCGGGGAGCGCGAGGCCCGAGAAGCCGCCGCTCGGAGGGACGCTGCCTCCGGAGTCAGCAAATGGAGCGAGGCAGGCCCGCGGCGGCGACGGCCGGCAGCCGGCAGCGGGCAGGGACGGGCCCCGCCGCCAGGGGGTGCAGCGCTCCCTCCCGGGCCGTCCACGGCGCGGTTCGCGGTTCCCGCTGCCCGGGAGCTGGAGGCGGGCCCGGCGCCTTGGGCGTGCGCCCGGCTGGCGCGAGGCCTTCCCGGCCGGCCGCGGAACCGGAGTCCTGGCGCCCGCCGCCCCTCGTGACCGCCCCCTCCTTCTTTCTTGTAAACGTGATTCCCACGCAGACTTGGTGCACGCCGCGCCCGTGAGTTGTGCTGCAGTGCCGGTCAGGGCCTTGCGTGCCGAAACATTTTTACCCAAGGTGTTTTTGCAGAGGTGAAGGAATGAGTGCTCAGGTGGCCTGGCTGGAAGAATTTTACACTCATGCCAACTGGGCGAGGATGTGCGGAAGAGGGCAGTGCGCTTCAGCGTCGGAAACGTTCAAGTTCACCTTCTTAACGTAACTTTTGTAACTTATTAACTGTTCCCCGTGCCACGGAGCAACACGTGGAGTGCCCGAAAGCTGGGGCTGTGTAAACTGAGGGCAAGGAAGTGAATTCTCGGGCTGGGGCTGGCTCCTGTTGGCCCAGAAGGACAGAGACTGAGGAGGGTTTTTTTTTTTGTTATGCACCCAATCCCACCCACCTTGGTTTTTCTTTCCTCCCCCACCCCCCTTTTAAACCATCCATCCTTAGTTTCCAGTTTCATGTCCCTTCCCTCAGTGCTGAGGTTGCGTGAGATTTTATATCTTAACAGTTTTACATCCCCAGCCACTAACCCAGGATCTGACTACTTAGTAGGTGCTCAGTAAATTTTTGCTAAATGAATATGGAGAACCTCTTGGATTCCAGGAGAAAGGACCAGTGCATCCTGTTCCTATTAGTGGGCTGGCTGGCATGTGCATGGCCCTTGAAATAAATCCATGGAAAAACCAGAGCCTTTAAAATATCTATCGCATAATAACTCCACAACTGAACGTGGGTTTTGACATAGAGGCCATCTCCTTGTTGAAGGGATTTAACAAAGTTTTATGTCCTTACCATCTCCCATCAAGCACAAAGCACTAGTAACCTCCAAAAGCAAGACCACTTAGGACCCAGTAGACAAGCTGGTCAGCATCTCAATAGTCTGTTAAAGGTACCACTTAGACGCATTTACTTGACCCACTTGCAGACTTCTAAGTTCTTAAGCATTCCTTAAGTGAGCAAAAGAAGAGTAGAATGTCTGATAATTAGGAAGAAAAGAACTGGAATCTACCCTAACAGTGGTTTGCTTAGGTGAAATTTTAATATCCTGCAGGAATGTCCCACCAGCCACTTGTCTGCAAAGCCCTGAAGCAACAAGAAGTAACATGCTTTTATGAACTGTATTGATTCCACAGTGAAAAAATAGAGGGATGTGGCTTGTAAATACCTCAAATTTTATAATGTAGAGATACATGAAGGCTGCTAGTCAACCAGCAAAAAAATTCAGTGTATGGGAGGTTGGAGTGTGATGTGTTTGTTTTTCCTGGCACTTAATTTTGATGACAAATTATGGTTCCTCCCCTATTATTCATTGTGCCTGTTATTGGCTAAAGCAAGTTTGGGGGAATTATTTGTAGAATCAACTTTTGGGATGGTGGAACTTTTCTATATCCTCTTGATGGTGGCTACAGGGATGTGTATATCTGTGTTACCTTTCATAGAACTGTATGCCCTCTCCTCCCCCCTTCCCGCAACCAGAGAGTAAATTTTACTGTATGGTAATTTTAAAAAATAAAATTTAAAGTCACACACACACACACAAAGGAATATTTTATGTGCTTTGTGAGCATTACCTTGCTGTTTCTTTCCTTGGCAGATTGAACAGTGGCTCCCTTCTGATGTTCCAGTATCTCTTGCAGCATTATTATTTCAGTCCAGGCTCTGTGGTGGTTTCTGGAATGAGCTGCCACACATGATCCGCACATGCCTAGCTAAGGGCTCTCCACCCTGGCATCAGGCCTTCAATGTGTCAAACAGGAGTGGTGCAATTTCACTTGGACTGGTGTTAATGCCTGGTATATTAGTCACTGAATGATCAGACATTTTACAAACTGTTGTTTTTCTCTTTTTTAATTATTTATTTTTTGGCTGCATCTTATGAGATCGTAGTTCCCTGACCAGGGACCAAACCTCCACCCCCTGCATTGGAAGCATGGAGTCTTAACCTCTGGGCTGCCAGGGAAGTCCCACACACTGTTGTTTTACAGCTGAGTTTTCTCAGCAGCTCACCTGGTAACATACTCTTCTTCCCTTTTTTTTTTTTTAATTTATTCAACTTATATATTTTTTGATTATTTATTTTAATTGGAGGCTAATTACTTTACAGCATTGTGGTTTTTGCCATACATTGACATGAATCAGCCATGGGTGTACATGTGTTCCCCATCCTGAACACCCCCCCCCCACCTCCCTCCCCATCCCACCCCTCAGGGTCATCCCAGTGCACCAGCCCTGAGCGCCCTGTCTCATGCATCGAACCTGGACTGGCGATCTGTTTCACATATGGTAATACACGGGTTTCAGTGCTATTCTCTCAAATCATCCGACCCCTGCCTTCTCCCACAGAGTCCAAAAATCTGTTCTTTATATCTGTGTCTCTTTTGCTGTCTCGCATATAGAGTCATCATTACCATCTTTCTCAATTCCATATATATGCATTAATATACTATATTGGTGTTTTTCTTTCTGACTCACTTCACTCTGTATAATAGGCTCCAGTTTTATCCACCTTATTAGAACTGATTCAAATACATTCTTTTTAATAACTGAGTAATATTCCATTGTGTATATGTACCACAGCTTTCTTATCCATTCATCTGCTGATGGGCATCTAGGTTGCTTCCATGTCCTGGCTATTGTAAACAGTGCTGCGATGAACATTGGGGTACACGTGTCTCTTTCAGATCTGGTTTCCTCGGTGTGTATGCCCAGGAGTGGGATTGCTGGGTCGTATGGCAGTTCTGTTCCCCTCTTCCTCCATTTTTAATTCCACCTGAAACACATGTACAGCCATCACTCAATATTTGTGTGGAATTGGATACAGGGCCCCTTTCAGATTCCAAATCTCCAGATGCCCAAAGTCTCTTATAGCAAGTCCTCCATGTCCTCGGATTAGGAACCCACGGATTGGAAGGCTGACTGTTCTTAAAATCAGCCCTTACAAGGTTTTTGTTCTCTACTAACCGCCACCTCTCCTCTTGTCTCCTCTCATCTGATTTTCAGTTATCAGTGGCCAGGGAAACACCATTGCATTGGTATCTGTAAAGGCAGTGATTGCTCAGTTGATCTTTTCTTGTTTGCAAGGGGCTGTTGGTTTGATCACGGAGCTAGTAAACTGAAGGAGGGAGGCTGGGAATGTGGTGGTTTAGTAATTAGCTCATGTGGTCACAAGACGACACATTTGTAAAAGTGGGAAGTATAGAGGAAACTCTGCTTATATCTCTAGGAAGGTTAGTCACCATTGTCCAATCCATCACGTGGGTGGCTGCTGGGATATGCTGGCCTTCCTTTTCTCCTTGACCCCAGCTTCTGGACGCCAAGGTTAAAGTTAAAAGCGGAGTCTGACACCTCCTACCACTGATGTTGAAGGAGGTAGCCAGTCCTTCGTGAGGCCAGGGAGGGTTTAATAAGCAGGAGCCCTTAGCTGAGAAAGACGTCACATTTAGTCACATTCAGAACATGCAGTGTCTGAAGGGTGAGACGCCACATGCAGGCTGTGATGTTGTCCTTCGCTGTGCGCCGAAAGATGAGGCTGTGCTCCGACAGTAAGGAGGGAAGCGACAATTACAGCTTTAGAAAAACTCGGGGGGGGGGGAAATTGCCCTGGTTTTCTGAAGACTGGTATTTTTCAAACTGCATTTGCAGATGTGTCTAAAAATAAAGACAAATTACAAACATGTCCTGCAAGTCCCATGGGCAGGATGCCACTGCCTAAAGGGCCGGGTTCCGAGAGCACCGAGGCTCCCAGCCTTCCCTGCAGACCCGGAGACTGAGCCCAGCAAGGGTGGGTGGCATGGGAACATTCTTCCTGTCCTTAGGGAAAGCATTTTGATTTTTCCCTTTCCAGTGTAATGTTTCTTTTTTCTTTTATTTGAAAGAAACATTACAAAACTTTTTTAAAGTTTTAAACCATTTTAATTTTTTAAAATATTAAAAATATTCACTATTAAGATGCACTTAACATATCTTTAAGGAAAAAAAAAGACTTTATACTAAGTAATACTGAGTGCTGTGTGCCAGGCACTTTCCCCTTTGTAGTTTTCACAGAGCCTAGAAGGTAAGGTAGTGGGCGCTTTTACAGAAGAAAGCACCAAGGCTTGGATGGGTTAGCATCTTGCCCAGCGGGAGAAGCTAAATGTAGGTGAAGCCAGGGTTAGATCGAACCCAGGTCTGCCTGCCCCTGAAGTTTAGTAGGGAGTTCATTTTCTTCCACATCAGCTATACTGATCATCTGTACTTGGTAATCCAAAGGCCCATTTGGCCTGTTGACTTGCCTCTGCATCTGAGCCCAGCCTACAGATGTGTGCTCCGTAAGGAAGGGAGAAAGCCAAGTGAGGTGGTTGAGCCCCCTTCAGTCCCAGCTCTTGCTGGAAAGCCAGCATGAGTCCACCCCACCTCTTTCCCGCGGCTTCTCTGCAGCACTCCAAGGGGGGCACAGCCTGCTGCCTCCCATTTCTGTCTGCGAAGTAAGAGGATTTTTGCCAGGATTGCACAGGTGCACGTGTAAAACTTAGACCTTGGAGCCAGTGCTACATGAATGTTAGCTGCTATCTTCCTTTAAAAAAAAAAAATTTAATTGGAGGATAATTGCTTTACAATATTGTGTTAGTTTCTGCCATTCATCAGCGTGAATCAGACATAGGTGTACATATGTCCCCTCCGTCTTGAACCTCCACCCCATCCCACCCTTGTCCTCCTTTTCTGTGTTTTATTTTTTAAAAATCAGTATGACCTACAGTGGGGAAGTTTCACAAAGTCAGACCACGTGGCTTTCCGTTAACAGCAGGTGCTGGGCCTAGTCTCTCGTAGTGTCCGACTCTCTGTGACCCCGTGGGCTGTAGCCCGCCAGGCTCCTCTGTCCACGGACTTCCCCAGGCAAGAATCCTGGAGTGGGTTTTCATGCCCTCCTCCAGGGGATCTTCATGATCCAGGGATCAACTCAGATCTCCCACATTGTAG